CTATTCATGTTGCTTTTTTGGTGTTGAATTGTGTATTTCAACAGGGATCTGTATGGCAACCACAGCTCTTAATAATGAGACTTTCCTCAGATACAATAGACTAGGAAAAGCCTACAAGCACATGAGCAGCAGGAACTGAAACCATACACATGGTTAATGGTTACTTAGTTCATCAGAGATACAAGAGGGAATGCCGGTATTGAACTACATCTATTGAGCAAAAATGTCAAACACCCAAGACACAGTCAGGAAAACAGAGAAGAGATAATATTTAGGTTCTGGGATCCCAAGCTGTGATCACAATATGGTAGGAAACTGTACAGGTAGTGTCTAAAACATCCATCCATTTTCTAGACAGTTCTTTTAATTCAGGGTCACAGAGGAGCCGGAGCCTATCCTGGCAAGCAAGAGGCACAATGCAGGATTCCCCTAGGACAGAAGCCCAGTTCATCACAGGGCACAGACACAAACATCCTTACACTGGGGCCAGTGTCCCCAGAAGCCAGTCAACTTACCAGTGTTGTCTTTGGACTACAAGGGAAACCAGAGCACCCAGAGGAAAAAAACACAACACATACCTGGGTAAACTCCACACCCAGGTATGGAATTGAACCTATGGCCCAAGAACTGTACAATTGTTCATCCTGTCACCTGAATCTAAGTCTAAGGTTTACAATTTTAGGAAAGTAGACCATGAAGGCACAGCTTAAGGAAGTTGAATGAGATAGAATAAATAGTCTAGTATATTGTCACTGAGAAACCATGGTAAATATCATATGTTGATTTTAACCCAGGTCAGTTCCATTTCCTTATTTAGTCTCATCAGAATACAACATAAAAGAAATGGCAGAGAAGAATGTCGTATGGAATCATAGAGCTTCATGTTAAAGAGAAAACCGAGTACCTCTTCAGTGCCGATACCATCTGGTTTTCCTAAACTCCAAATATGGCTTTCATTAGTTGGGTTTGTGGTGGTTTTATGAATGCAAATCCACTCTTGTTTGGTGCTTTAATGATGTTCTAGTAATTGTAATATAAAAGCATTAGTGAATTATTTAATTTTAATTATTTCCCCTGAGCTGTGAGATGCAGCTTCAGTTGGCACGACTACATTAGCTTGTTCTACTAATCTTAAGCAACAATTGTTTATTGTCAGGTATTACAATCTGGGTCTTGTACTTATGTTAATGTTGTTCTGCCTATGAGATTATGATATAAAATTCAGCTTAGTAGCTGTTTCAAACTCATTTAATGGAGTCTGGAGGTGGTCAGTGTGCTGAAGTCACAGGCTCCTGTATGTCAACCATGCCCTTGTTCTTCACCATGCTGTTGCTTTGTACCTCTGCATTACACTTGAGATGTACAGTATAGTTCTGATCTGGTGTGTTTTGAATGGGCCTGAGGAGAGGTTTGAGTAACAATTAAAAATATTTATTTTCACTGATAAAACAGGAATTTTAGCTGTATATTTATGTTTTACAAAAATACCATCAAGCAAAGTGCATCTGTATACAAATGTGTAGAAATGTACCCTTTTCTTAACTCTTTGGTGAATCAGCCATAAAATAAAATTAATATAAACGGGTCATTTATCAAATTGTCTCTCATTTAGGAACAAGTAAAGGTCAAGTGCATTCTGAAAAGTAGAAAGAAGAAACAACATTTTGGCTGTTGAGCCTTTTTCAGATATCAATGTTGTGTTTGTTCTTTCTACTTTCAGCTTGGAATTAACCTCTACTTGTTCCTTTGCAGTGAGACTTTACTGTTTCATTTGTTTCTGGAATTGCACTATAATTACATTCAACCTTTTATAGTATATTATAAAATTTTTAACATTAAAACTGAAGCCTTTTGTTCACTGGAAAATGTAAAAAATACTCTGATGCAGCTCCTCACTCATCTTTCATTTATGTTCTCCTGAAGAGGGGTAAAACTGCTGGAAAAGAGGTTTGATGGAGTTGGCAAATTGCATGAAGACTCCTGCATGGACTGACATGATTTCTCACACCGAAAAAAGACACTGTGGGTTATATGTACAAAACAAACTCTTGATTCAAATGTGTACAGTTTGTACAGATTGTAAAAACCAATCCTCCAAACTTTTTTGATTACAAAATGTTGCTCTATCTAAATGAAAAAATTATGGTCATGCTTCCAAGCAGTGGACACCTGTAGTGATTGGAGGGATTATTAACTGCTCATGTTCAAAGAGCATGAAGTAATTTCATGCTAGACAGGTGTACTGGGACAGATAAGACATTACATTTGCAACAAAAAACTGTGGTTTGGCATCAACCAAGATGCCCTGACCCACATATTCAAAATATATTTAATTGACAGTAAATGGAACAAATTTCATTACAAGGCAAAACGTTTTCAAGTTCATTTCACAATCTTTTTTATGTCCACAATGGGTTTTGAGGCAATATTTTTTTTCTGCAATGCACTTTCATTTTAGATTTATGGTAAAATTATTTACGAAATTATTTAAATTAATTAAATTTTGTGATATTTCTTCCTTACATTCTTTGTCCAAATTTATGTTCAGTGTTGATGTCTATGTGTTATCCCACAGTTCTGTTTATTGAAAGGAGTGTTCTCTAATCACTCTAATTCAAACCTCACTTTAAACTGAGCCATCTTACATGACTAGAGTAAGCTTATACTGTTCTTCGTTGCAGATTACTATTATTTCTGTAATGTTCTGTTTGAAAAGAAAGTAGCAACAATAGACCTACAAGTAAGTTTAGGCTGCTCTAACTGATCCCTATTGAATAAACCACAGGTTTTAAAAATTCATTTTCTTATTAAAATATTTATAAAGAAAATCGACCCACTGAAGCAGCTCACTTATGGAGGGGTCTTTTGTCTGAGTTTGTGTTGAATATAAAGTTGAATATCTTCTACTTCTTTGTGCGGTAGGGCTATAAATTGTAAGGTGGTGATACCTTGTGTGAAGGAGGTTTTATGATAAGCACAGCCTAAGATAACCAAGCAATCTTGTGAGGAGGTGCCTTTTTACCAAATGCAATAGATGTGCCAGATTGCCTACTCTCATTTCTTATCATTATTATGAGATGGTCTACAGAGTAATTTTTAAAGTTTTTTTCTCCATAACAAAATTTGCTTCCCATTTATTTCACTGTATCTTGTCTAATACAATTCATCTCGGGCATCCAGTGTTTATACCCACAAGAAGAAATGTGGTAATTTAATCTGTTGTAAGATGGCACACTTCATTATAATTATCATCTGCTTCATGCAGACACACCTAGACACAACAGCAGTGATGATTTCTACAATCATCTGCGTTGTTATTGTTGACAATTCCATATAACAGGCTTTTAGTTCAATACATTTATTTTGATCCCATTTACAATTCAATGTGCAATTTACAGACATTCTAATAGCTACTAGTGTCTGCTGATTATGATGAACTATTTCAGTTTTGCAAACACAAAAGTGCAAAGTCAGTACTACATTCATAGGCACAACCACACCACAAATGTCACAAACAGTAGATCAATGAGCAGTTAGCAGCAGTTATCAGGTACTGTACATGCATGCACTGAAGCAACTGAAAATGTTCACAATTGTATCTAATGTTAAAATCTGAATTTAAACCACATTTTTAAAAAAATAGCTACATATCATAATTGGTTTTGAGGCACCAAGGGCTTTCTGCAGTGCTATTTAAACTTTCAAACATGTGGACAAAAAGCTTTTAAGTATTTCCTGCCTGTCAGGGTTTTCATAACTTCTTTTCCTAGATGATGTCAGCATGCTCAGCAAAGTCTTATCTATCTGAAATGTTACAGTATGGTGGGCTGACATTCCAAATAGCATAATAGAGAGACTCAATAGTGTTAAAAAGTAGGAACAAAGTATAAAAGGTACAAATATTTTTCTAAATTTGGTGACTTGTATTTGGAGTCAGAGTTTATTTTTTCTCTCCAGTTCTGGGATCTTTAACTGCATGCTAAAATGAAAAAAGCTCATGGATTATTATTTAACATAGCAGAATGTTGTATAAAACAAAAATATTTGGTTGATTTGTTTTTTAAAATGTTTTCCTCATTTTATTTATATGGTCAATTAGATCATTTAGAGGTCTTGTTTCAGGAATACTGTAAGGTTTTTCTTCATCATAGCTATTTCTTATAATCTGTTTATTAATCCTTATCTAAAGCAAATGACCAAATTTCAGTTGTAATAATACAGTAGAACGTTTTACTGAATCATTAGCATTCTTGCTTGAGATTACAATAGAAGTATTGAATCTAGAATGTGTTCACACAGTCTTCTGGATGTACGTCCATATTTCTTGTGATAGTGTAACAGTAAATAACAAAAAGGGCTGTGATTAAAATTGGTAATACACAACTTTACAAATGAGATACTAGGATTATACTTTTTTTGTATTTTTACTATTTTCTGTAATAATCATGGCTCTCTGTTATGAATATATAAAACCTTGGAAACCAAGGTGTAAGCATGTACTGTATACCAAGGTGGGGTATATCTTTGGAGTGAAAAGACTGATAGCAATTAGACCCTTGATGTGTTTTACAGAACAACCTCTTTTGAAGAATTGCATATACAGTGTATCAGTAAGCCCATTTTACTTTAATCTTTTGGAGTATTGGGAGTATTATGTATCCTTTATTTACAAACAAAGGAAAGCAGAAACACTCCTTTTAAGATGAACTATTTGAAATGACATGCATGTGCTTAACATGCATGTTTTAAACTCAGTAATGTGCTGAAATACAGGATATCACCATGCACATTTTCTTCTGTCCTCTTTGCCTCAGGCTCAGACATGATCACATTATGGTGCCTCTCACAAATGAAATGATCTATTTGTCAGCAGTTTTGCTTTTTATGCTTTTTTATGAATTCTTCTCATAAGTGTTCTCTAAAAGTAATGTATTTATTTGACACTTCTGAAATGCCATGTATGTATACCAGCATCTTCACTCTGCTGCTTTGATTTTCAGACATGGCTGAAAAACTATGGTTATCTTCTGCCCCATGACATTCGGACATCAGACCTCAGGTCGGAGAAAGCCATGCAGTCGGCTGTCGCTGCCATGCAGCGGTTTTATGGCATACCTGTGACAGGAGTGCTGGACCAGACCACAATAGAGTGAGTGATGACAAGCTTTTCTAAGCCTTTCACTAGAGGGGACAGGCTTATCAACTTATTTTCAATCATTGTTAAGGAACAAAGTTTTAAAGTAGCTTAAATAAGTGAAGACTGTAGCCAAAAGAAAACTATAGCATGCTGTAATAACAAATGCAGTACTGTGAAGAATAACAAAGTTTTAAGTCACGTATTTGTACACACGCTCAGGTAAGAAAATGCCTGGCTATTAATGAGTTTTTTTTTTCCATTGTGTATTTTTACCCACTTTATGCCATGAGGAAAATCACACCTCCATCCTGGTATCCTTTTTTTCTTCATATTTCATATTTTTCTCTGACAAAATATGATAAACAACTAGGATAATGAATGGTGTTGAACATCTGAGTATTTTGTAATTCTCAGCAGTTCCCCTGTTCAGGGGACTTCAGATCCCTAGAAGAGCATCTTCAGTCCTGTCTCAGCTCAGACCTCTGTTGTTGTGTGCAGGTGGATGAGGAAGCCTCGTTGTGGGGTCCCTGATCACCCACGGATCAGCCGCAGGAGGCGAAATAAACGCTACGCGCTGACAGGCCAGAAGTGGAGGCAGAAACACATCACCTATAGGTAGGACAGCTCCTTCTTTCTGAAAGAACCATAACGCCTTAGGTATAAAAATATCAAAATCTTAATGGACATAAAGTTGATTCCTTCATGTTTTCGTAATTTGTCCATGCATCTGATTGGTGTAGAACTTATCAAAGCTGAAGTTAGTTTTAGGAACTTTCATGCTGTACCCACTTCAGAATGTAAGAAGATGAGGAATTTAAACAGCCCTGTGAACTCCTTCTGTAAATTACTTGCTTTCCTAGAACACATTTTTCCCCTTTTTGCCTTCCTTTAGCACAATTGTGGTATTTTCAATGGTCTCAATTATTAATGCTTTGCATCACTCTTTTTATCATGGGATGCCATTGCAAGCTGATCCTAGGGTCAGTGGCCCAGAGCTAGAATTCCCGCAATAGAGCTCTTAGCTCCATCACATTACAGCTGGTATTGATTCTCCAGAGCTCTCCATCTACTTTCTGTTTGGCTCATTTCCAGGATTTTGTTTTGATGTTTTTTCACATACAAGTGTGTGAATTTTTACACAGTATAGAATTTTTTTCTGCCTTAGTTTGATCATTCAGCTATCACAGTTTCAGTAGTGCGCAGGCACATATTGTACAGTTTTGACAATGAGGAGAAAACAAAAATTGTTTTCCTAAGATAAAATCACTTAGAATTGCACTATGTTTAGAACAGTCTTAAAGAATGAGCATTGCCTTCTCTTTAAGTGCTGTCAAAATGCATAATTGTCAGAACTACAAAGAAGCCAGAATGTTTTAGGTGTCCTTACAGCAGTGCTTGTTTCTGGGGAGAAATACATTTGTAAAATTTGCAGTTTTCAGAGCCCTTTTAATTTTGTGGATTCCTTTAAACAGTTTGCTGTTTATAATTACGGTGTGAGGGATTGCTGTTTAGTGTTTTCAACATAGTGTATACTTCCTTACATACAATAAGTAAAAATGAAAAAAAAAAAAGGGAATTAATAAAAATGTCAGATGAGTGCCTATTCGAATGAAGCTATATTATCTGGAGGAGTGAGTTTATCATTCCATAGACAATAGTTTTTGCTGTACATTTAATATGCTTGTCGTCTTCTGACAGGGTAGTGATATTGACAACACCTGTGACCAGTTGTTTTGTATCTTTTTTTCAGCATACACAACTTTACACCAAAAGTGGGGGAAAAAGACACGCAAAAGGCTATCCGACAGGCCTTTGACGTGTGGGAGACAGTGACGCCACTGACATTTGAGGAAATCCCTTACTCTGAGATCAAGAATGAGAGGAAAGAAGCTGACATCATGATTTTCTTTGCCTCTGGTTTCCATGGAGATAGCTCCCCATTTGATGGTGAGGGGGGTTTCCTGGCTCATGCGTATTTCCCTGGCCCTGGCATTGGGGGGGACACCCACTTCGACTCTGACGAACCCTGGACTCTGGGCAATGCCAATCATGATGGTAAGAAAGGTGATGAATTAAGATATGGTCACATCTTGCAGTTTAGCAGACAATTTAGCCACAACCTCTGTATCACAGTTGACCTATTAGTGTTGTTCACTAATAAAACTGCAGGTTGTAAAAAATAAGTAAATTAAATTTGGACAGTCTAAATCTGAGGCTTAATCCACTATGTGTTAAGACACATTATACTGTAATTACTAGTTTTAGGGGAGAGAGGCACCAGAGCAACTTTTTAATGGGCAAAAAATGCAAGGTGGAGCCCAGCCATACTCTTTATGGAAGAGGACAATTTAGCAAAAGTAACATGTATGTGTTTTGGAGGTGGGAGAAAGTTGAGAAAGCTTTCCTTTGACATTGATTCTAACTACAGTTTTCATCTCCTTTCAATAAAACCATGTTACATTTCACAATTGGCTGAAAAAGCTGTGTTTAAGTATATAGCAACTCCTGACAAAATAATAAAATCCTCTGAGGTATAGCCTTGTCCTGTAGCTGTGCACCTCTGTGCTGTAACTGTCTCCCTGCATTGTGTCTCAGGGAATGATCTGTTCCTAGTGGCAGTCCATGAACTAGGCCATGCCCTAGGACTGGAGCACTCCAATGATCCCAGCGCTATAATGGCCCCCTTCTACCAGTACATGGAAACACACAACTTCAAATTACCTTTGGATGACCTTCAGGGCATTCAGAAAATCTATGGTATGTGTCATCTGTACTGTAAGCTATGATATTCCAAACTTTAGTCTGTACTGAAATGAAATGTTTTGAGAAGTAATATATGCTGAACATGCTGTGTCCAATGTTTAAAACAAATATTCTGTGGAACATTAAAGGTGTATGAATGTTTCAGGTTCAATTGCATCTCACTCATACAAAAAAAAACACTAACATTCAGTGGGACCATCTCAGAGTATTTGTTTTGCTCCCTATATGCATAGAACATACTGAACTCTTCCTGTTATATGTCTTTACTAAATTGTTATTAAGCTATGTACAATGCCTTGTACAAATTCAACACATTTTTACAGACCTCATTAGTCTGGAAAGGGAAGGTTATAAAATCCACAGACATCCTAAACTCAAATGCTCACTCTAAACTTAGATCCACATGCCTCCTTCATTAAAGCAGCAAGATATTAAAGATTTAGGCAAATGCAATATTGACTCTGTTATAACATTGGGCAGAATGGGAGGTCATTCTACAGCGATGGCTTTGAAACCATGAATACCTGTTAATGGTATCTATAAAGATAAGTTTGTTACCAGTTTGATATTTTAAAAAAACTAAAAGCTGTTCATTGATTTATAGCACAGGCATAGTGATATCTTTCAACCTACTTGATTTATGTGCATACAAATATATAAATACAGACTTTATTCATGTCAGCTGAAAATAAACCAAATTCACTTTTGAGGTATTATGAACAAATATTCACTAATTCTTTTTGCTTTAAAAGCATAAAGCAAAAGAAGCCATTGTAAAAAGTCATGTAAAATAATGATTCAAATAATTAGACATAAATATACATAAATTATGGTGTGCATGACTAGTGAATTAAAATGTATTGTTTCAAAATTTTATTTGAATATTTTGAAATATTGAATATTGAAATATTTTATTTTAAATTGCCATGTGGATGCAGTCCATTTGCAGTCTGTGAAGTTCTGTGTGCTTGGGTTGCAGGCATACCAACAGCGATGCTTGAGCCCACCAGGCCCTTGCCCACTCTGCCAGCTCGCCGGACCCACTCCACCTCTGAAAGGAAGCACGACCGACAGTCACGGCCACCTCGACCCCCCTCTGGAGACAAGCCAGCCTCCCCTGGAACTGCAAAGCCCAACATCTGTGATGGAAACTTCAACACTGTGGCCTTCTTCAGGAGAGAGATGTTTGTGTTCAAGGTGGGAAGTTCCTGAAGTGGCAAAAATGTGTTTAATCAAGGGATGCTGCCTATCTGTGTAAATGCTGTTTAATTAAACATCTTGTCTAGTCATTATCAGAACCCATTTCTCCCGGTGATGTGTGTGGCAAATCAGTTTGTCCCAGCAGCGCAGTGTAATGCTGCTGTACTCACAATTGTGCAGTGGTCTGAGGCAGGAGACTGGATTCATGTGCAGTTTCAGAAAACAAGCAAACGTGCAAAATGTAATCCAAATCCTAGTCTGTAAAATGTGGAGCTCATATTCCAGGAAGCCTAGGAGTGAAGTATTGTAGGGAAATGCAGAAGCAACGTAGAAGCTAAGACTATGTCTGAGTGCAGGTGGATGAAAAGGTGGATCTTAAAATCGGGATGGGATTAGAGTCTGACAGGTGGCATGGGACTGAGAGCACAAGACAGCTCTTGTGCTGGATAAGGGACAGACTTATCCCATGGCAAAGGGCCAATTCAGTCTTTTGGAAGTGTGAGGAAACCGGGGCACCCAGATAGATCCTATGCGAACACATGGAAAATGTGCAAAACCCATACAGGAACTGCCCAACTCAAAACTGAACACTTTGGACCCATCTAGCCCATGTGGTAGTTAATTGATCCAGGGATCACCTTGAGCAGTCTCTTGAAAGACCCCAGATATTTCAGCAATATTGGTGGATAGCAGTAAGCATAACCAATTCTCAACACAAGCACTAGTGCTGCCCCTTCCCGAATGCCTGGCACATTCATGCACAATGACACAAGAGCTATGCTCCAGCTGCAATAACCACCACACCATCTTCAATTAAAATTCAAGATAAATATGAAAAATATAACTGTGAAAAGTTTAAATGTTTGACTGTATATTATGGAAAAACCTTTATTGCAATGTAGCATATAATCGTATGCCCAAAGTGATCCCAAAGTGATCAGATGAACCCTATCTTTCTGTGTGGATTTCACAGACCAAAATCAATTAATAAAGAATAGAAATGAAATTAACCTTTTGGTTTTCTAGTTAGAGAAAAACCTTTTGGTTTTACAGCTGTTAGAGTGGAATGTGTAGGTTAGAATACAGGTACTGTAAAGTTATCATTTTTCTTGTAAGTGTTTTTTACAACAAGGTAAGATAAATTTAATATTTTATGTACTGCATTAGTATCTTTTTCTGAGGCTTTATTTTGTGCATTGAATTAATGGAAACAAACAAATGAACAGTTGAATAAAACAGATTTAACAGCTGTTAGCTTGTGTATTTACAGCATATTCCAAAACAGAACACAATAATAGAAAGAATATACTTGCTAGTTCTATTCTGTTAATATTAAATAATATTTAATTTTATTTCTGATCATTTTATTATATTTAATTTAATCTTATTCACAGCAAGGATTTCTCATTCCCCATAAGGGTATGCTCCTTATGAAAAAGAAAAAAGCATATAAGTTTTTGTAGTGCCATGATTCAATTGAGCTATGTTGATTTCCAGCTCTGGCTCATAGACCATCTCTCTGTATGTCCACATTTCATATTGATTTCTGACTCACCTAATGAGACCTGCATTAAAACAAATGGGAGTCTGCTATAATCTGTCTTTTTCACACTCCCATTTGTACTGGAATTATTCCTTAAAACCTTTGTCTGCAGTCAGTATGTAGTCATTTCTCAAATTTGCATTTCTAAATTTAATGTAATTAAATGTTGGGTATGTATAAAGTATTCCAAGTGCTAGGGATCTTTCATTGGCACTATGTATTTAGAATTGTGTAAAATGTTATTGTTTTTCTACAGCACACTTGCCATATATTTAAAAAATGTTTTTTCTGCTTCTGTGCAGCAGTGGATTTAATTAATTAGTGTTATTTACTGGAATTGTTATCTTGAAATCTTGCTTTGGCTTAACTCAAAATAGTATATACAGGACAGAGCTTACAACATGCTAACAAGTTGGATAGCACTTCAGGTCAATAAAGAGAACATTCATCAGGCTAAGTAAGGCATATTACGAATGTTACAATGCTTTATGGTTTCATGTTTCAGAGGAACTTACGTATTCAAAGAGATGTGGGTGTTATTTACCAATTGCATTAAAAGTAAAAAAGCTTTTAAACATCATTTTAAGCCATTCTTTCTGTGTCTGACTGTCCTTCTACAGATGCATTTCACTTAGGTCATTTTTTTCCTGTTCTACATTTCTGGGACTCCCTTACATTTAGTTAATACAGTATAAATGATTTCACTTCTGTTACATTTTATGGTGCCTTAAGGCTGTGGAATGTTCCTGCATTCATGTTTTGTATAGCACTTGAAATAAAATACAAATCTGACTTGTTTGCACAAAGTAAATACAAATATTTTGCTGTTGTCATTTCAAAGAATTTTGTAATTAATATTTTTCTCCAAAGTGAGGAATATTTTAAGGATATACTAAGGGCACCATGTTGCTCAACACTTGAGTAAACTACTGTTTGATTCTTTTAAGTGAATTTCAAAGTGCGAGTGGACATATCTGTTAAAGAAACTAGGTATTTTTTACTGGTGCTGTAACTGTTAATGCCTTCTTACTGTAAGAAATGCAGGACTGCATCATGGCGTCCTTGTTGCTTTGGAGCCATTTGATATTGAGTCGTGGGTATTTGTTTTAGGACCGCTGGTTTTGGCGACTGCGCAACAACAAAGTACAGGAAGGATATCCCATGCAGATTGATCAGTTCTGGAAAGGCCTCCCTCCCAGGATTGATGCTGCGTATGAGAGGTCAGATGGGAAGTTTGTCTTTTTTAAAGGTATGTATTAATTCTTCATGTTTTATTTCTTTTGAAGTATCTAAAATTCACAATGATGAGTGCTTGAGACAATTAAAAGCATTGTTGTAATGCAGGCAGAGAAGTCATTGTTCACATGCATTCTGATTTAGGAAGAGACTATAAATCCATGGAACAAACCTGATGTGACAATAACAAGCAAACTGATTCCAAGTAACTGAGCTTTCAGTGAAGTCTGTGCAATTCAGCTTTTGACGATCCCTTACAGAAATGATTCTGCCTTAAAAGATCAATGCAGAATAAAAGCAATTCAAATAACTAATCTTTAACAATTAAATCTGTGGGATTCTCCTTGCTTAGTACAGTGTTTCAAAAGAAGGGTGGCATGGTGGTGCAGAGGTTATCATTGCTGCCTTGCAGTGCTGTGGACCTGGTCCAATTCTGGACCTTTGGTGTTTCTGTGTTGGTGGGGGTTTCCTCTTACTGCCCAAAAATATACTGGTAAATTGGCTTCTGGGAAAATTGGCTTTAGTGTGTGTCTGTGTGTGCTTTGTGATAGACTGGCACCTTGTCCAGGGTGTGCACTGGCTTGTGTCTGTTGCTTTTTGATCTAGGCTCTGGCTTCCCTGTAATCCTGAGTCGGTTAGAAGATTGATGGATTATTTTTTTTCCTGTACTGCATGTTGTTTTTTTTACATTTTGAGTAAAAATATGTTAATATTCATGTTAAAATATAATGGGTTAACTGTAAAGCATTTAACATTTTTTTTCAAGGCCAATTTCAAGGTTTTCAAGCTTTCAAAGCTTGTTGCTACAGCAGCTGATTGTTATGTCATTGTGATTAAGGTGCTGCATCACTGTAGAGATTTGATTAACATTGTTTAATCAAGTTCCATAACTCCAGTTCTCCTTCTTGCAATGTTCCTTTGCCCATCTTGCTTAATTTGGCTATTGACTTGATTGTCTCTTGACATCTCTAAGAGTCAGCAAGTGTCTGGGTGAGATATTAATAACCTCAGCACAGAACACAGAAATGCATTACAAGCAAAGCTGTGGGGTTTCTCAGAATTATTCCTCCCTTCATAAAAAAAACTTGTGCTCTAGAACTCGTCTGCTAGTCCTAGTTCCTGGAAAATTGGGTTTCTTGCTTCTGCATATTTCTTTGTCTTATAGAGAGAGAGGTGAGAAAAAGTTTGCGAACATTTTGGAATTTTCTGTAGCTTTTACCTGTTACCCTAGGGTTCTCTGTCACCTCCTTAAGCATTGTATGGCTATCTCGTGCAGTGATTTTTGTTGGGTGACCACTCCTAAGCAATGGTACTGTGTTTCTTCTATTTGAACCCTATCTGCCTGACTGTGGATTGATGGAGGCCAAAGTCTTTAGAAATGCATTGTAACCCTTTCCACCATAATAAGTATCAACAACTCTTCTGAGGTCTGCTGAAACCAGACTGTTTGGAGCATGTTTCACTTAAAAAACATATTGTGAAGAGCATGCTCTACCGGTACCTAGCCTTGGTGTTTTTTATAGGACAGAGCTCCTCAAACTCACACCTGAATGTCATCTCATTGGCTGGAAGTCCTGACTCCAATTACCCCCCTTTAATTATCCTAGAGATTTCTAGCAGAGACAGCAAATGTTTAAACAATGTGTTAAAAATAGATAAGACAAAAGTACAATTGTTTGTGTGTTACAATGCCAAAGAGTTCACAAACTTTTTCACAACTGTATGTCTTTATGCAATTACAAAATCCCTTTCTCTATCTAGCCATTTCTTCAAGACAACAATGCATCAGCTTTGAGAACAAGGCTAAACAGCAAGTTCCAGACTGCCTCAACACATTATGTGAAGTGTTCCTCCTGCTCCCAGTTTTATTTATTTTTCATTTTTTTCTTATTTGGACTGGTATGGATAACTGATTATGTATTTCTTTGTAGAAGATTATTGCCGACCAAATGAGTAAGCATGGGAGCTGCTGTTCTCACCTTGTTCTCAGTTTTAAATGCACTTTTGTTCTGCTACAGAAGTGTAGTGTCTTCTCTTGTCAGGTGACAAATATTGGGTATTTAAGGAAGTCACAGCAGAGCCAGGTTATCCACACAGCCTGGTTGATCTGGGCAACTGTCTGCCTCGTGAGGGCATTGACACTGCACTGCGCTGGGAACCTGTGGGCAAGACGTACTTCTTCAAAGGAGACCAGTATTGGAGGTACAATGAGGAAAAGAGGACAGCCGATCCAGGGTACCCCAAACCCATCACTGTCTGGAAGGGTATCCCAGAGTCCCCACAAGGAGCATTTGTCAGCAAGGAAGGCTGTAAGTATCCTGTCACGGCACAGGACTTACAGGACACAATATTAAGTTCTTTGGGCAGAGTTCTTCACATGACATTATTCTTTGAAACAAAAAGTAAAATCTTGTTTTACAATTCCACAGTGCTTTGGCCCACGTCTATATTATGGTAACTGTATATCATGGCATATATGAATCTGTCACAGCCACTACACATCCTTAATGGTGTCCATTCAGGGTCAGCAACTTGTGCCCTGGAGGTGTGGAACAGACCTTTATAAAAACATATAACTAGTATGTTCCAAGCACCGTGTATGGTGATGTACTTAATGAATCAGAAGAAACTGAGGTCATTGGGGTTACTGCGCTAGCACAGCTCTGGACTTTTTTCTGCTGGTAATGGAGTCTGCATGAAACAGCGATTAACATTTTAGCCACAAATGTCACAACCTACTGCTCTATATACCACAGAAGAGTTAGGAAGTTAACCTCCATGTAGATCAAAATCTCTGTTCCTCAGCAGGCAGATGTACTGTATGTGCCTAGAAATCTGCATAGTTGCTTGTACTTGTTCCATTATGCTTGACAGGATAATCATTATTCACAAATTCCCCCTTATTATCTGTGTACTTAATTTAAATATTTTGTTTGTGGACGTATCCATCTTTATCCATAATTAGATCTTACATTTTCATAATGCTATATAGTAAAATGTCTAAATATATGTCTACTTCTAATCCACATTGTGCATATAAAATTTGCCACAGATAGCTATTTTGTCCACATTAAGTTTCACCGGGGGACACTGACCAATGAAATAGGAGCATATATTTCTTGTTCCTTAAAAAGAAAGACTTTCGGTACTCTGGTATTTTAAAAAGTGATCACTTGTCATGATCTCTGAAATTAATATTAATTTATCTATTTCACTGTTGTTCTTCTCCTGTTTCCTTCTAGTCTACACCTATTTCTACAAAGGCAAAGAATACTGGAAATTTGACAACCAGAAGCTGAATGTTGAACCTGGCTACCCCAAATCTATTCTAAAGGACTGGATGGGATGCCACCAGTCAGATGTGGAGAAAAGCAAAGAAAGGCATCTTCCTCATGATGATGTAGACATCATGGTGACCATCAATGATGTGCCAAGCACAGTCAATGCCATTGCTGTGGTGATCCCCTGCATCCTCTCCTTCTGCATCCTGGTGCTGGTTTACACCATCTTCCAGTTCAAGAACAAAGGTGTGCAGCAGAACGTCACCTATTACAAACGCCCGGTTCAAGAGTGGGTATGACAGGCTGGGAGCCACTAAGAAACATTGTTAAGAGGGCTACAAGAAAATGAAGCGCCATCTGATGAGTGGCTGCCTTGCACAAAATGGGGAATGGGGGGTGGGGGGTATTAGGTTTAATTAAACCTCCAAGAACAAGAGATCATTAACAAATGGCCACATTAATGTTTTAGCATGAGAAGATGCACAAAGGCAGGGAGGCCCTTGACTTAGAGAGAGCAGACCTGCCTCCTCTCCTGCCTTTTGAGCTATGTGTCCTTTATTTCTGGGTGTGCCATTTTATATGTTATCCAGTTCCCAAGACTCCCATCCAACCTTCCGCGCAGGAGGGCTAGGGAGCCCTGTGTAAGTGTCCATAGCCAGATACCAGCAATCTCCTGTGCACCCGCCATCTCTTCCTTTAGTATGAACGTTTACATGGAGATAAGCAAACAAAGCAATGAAGGTAGAAAGGCCACAGAAAAGGAAACCAAGGATTGCTCCATAGATCATTTGAAGTTTATCATTTAAAAATTCTTCATGTCTCATGAATCAAAACGAACAGTTCTCTGGTGAACTCCTGTGACTCCCAGGTAGCCTCAAACTCTCAGCACTTTCCACATTTACTAACGGGGCTCTTGGATGGAGACAGCATACTGGATTGACTGGACTGGTTTTGCTTGGACCTACAGTAGCAGCCTGATGAAATAACATTTGGTTATTGAACTGAATAAGTTAAAAATTCTTTTTGTATGGAAAAAGGTGAAATGGATGTTAATATTACAGTCACTCACTAGTGTTTAATGGCTGCTGAGGAAATGATTTTTTCATATTTCCATAATATAGAGAAACACACAGCAATGTTCTCTATAATCCTCAGTGACAGTTTATACTTGTCTGGCATGTTGTCAACAGGAATGGCTGGGGGCCAAATGAACTGCTATAATGAAGCAGCCTTAATTATTTTTTATATATCTGTTGTCTATAAGTGTTTTCATTACTGTCGTTGTATCACAGGTCTGTTCTACAGCAGAAATCTAACAGTCTGCTTAGCTGGGTGAAAATGTAGCTACAGTGCTCTCAGAATTTCACTAGAAGAGTGGTAGGGCTAGAGTTTGCCACTGAGGATGTGATTTATAAGAAGATATTTCTGAGTCAGCCTGATTCCATATTCTTTTGTAAAGTGCCAGTAAACAAATTTAAACAGCTGTTAAAATCCAGGAGACACTTGATTCCAGTCTAAATAGAGCAGACTCAGTGTTTCCTAAAATGATCTAGTATAGGGGCTTAGCAGACCATGATGGAATTGAATACAGCCTTGGAAAAGAAAAACAACAGCAACCCATAGGAAGAACTTTCAATCAACAGTTTTAGATGAATTCCCTTTGTTTCATACCACTAACATAGTCTCATATTGAAAAAAAAAACGTTATTCCATTATACTACTGACTTCATTAAGGAATGTTTTACATTACCTGTTATTACTTATATATGGGATGTATCAAAAATTGTTCCAGCACTTCCCTAGGTCAAATAATTACTATCAAAGGAAGGATCTAATCTTGACCCCAGAAGGGTTATGCTAAATGGTGTTTATAAAAATCTCGACTTCTCCTTCTTGTGATATAACATTATCATATAGACCATATGGACAGTGATACTGTACTGTACATGAAACATGGAGACATTTCAGATGTTATTGACCTTTAATAAGATCTGAACGGAAGATTAGAACTTAGCTTTGCATTATTTATTCTGTATTAAACTCCCGACTTTGATCCCTTCAGTTCTAACACAAGACTGCTATACTTTTTAAGTCTCATTTTAAGTGAATGAAATTTCTGTTAATTTCAATAATGTTATCAATTTGTATTTTAATATACTGTTTATATTAATCTTATTAGTTTCCAAATGTTACACCTAATAATTATGAAAGAAGGCTGCATGATTTTGTGGCTGAACTTTAATGAAGGAGTCAAACTTGAGGGATTCTTAAGTATTCTTAAAATCCCCAAGCCTAGGGCCTAAGGTCAGAAATGCAGTTTGGATCATGACCATGACATGTGTTTTGTGTGCAAGGAAGGGTCACATTTGACCTCATTTTGAAGGTGTTTGACCATTATGCAAATTAATACAGAACTATATTAGAATTAATATTATATTTTAGCTTTGTAGTTCCATCTACCTTAAAAACATAATTATCCTTAAGTAAATGGAACATTCAATGCACCTCAAAGATGTTAAAAAAACAAAATTTTGTAGTACACTTGTGTTCTCTTGAGATGTTTCCAGCCCCTTAACATACAGTAGTTCTTATTGAAATATACATTACAGACTTGAACATTGCTAGAATTATTGTGAATAGCTGTAAACTAGTTTTTTTTCTCAGATATTGTCAATCACATTCCAATTTATAAACTGGGAAGACGTGGTCCATCTTGTGGTGTTGATCACTGGATTGCATAAGCCCCAGAAAGTGATATAATAAATGATCTTTTCATCACTGATGAGTGATGCTGTGTGGAAAATAATCCATGAAATTGGACAGTGCCTTGCACACTGTAGAACACATGTACAGCCCTGCCAAGTGGGCTTGCATAAATATATAATATGTCTAGAGAACAGAGGCTTACATACCTCCCTAGACTTGGAGCTACAAATTTGAAGCTAGGTGTAAGAAAACAACATACAGTATATACTGTAGGTAATGCTTGTGTGATGCTTTTCTGAACAAACTTAAATTTTGAGAAGACCACTGCTCAAAGTTTTTGTTATGGCTGTTAAACTATTAGATACAGCTTAATAGTCATCAATGAAAAAAGTTTAATTTCTGTTGTTTACATATAGACTCAATATTAATAGAACATTGTAGTTTCGTACATGACATTTTATAGTCTCACTTAGGCCGACTACATTTAGAAAACAAAGGAAAGAGTTGTGTGGACTCTGACATTTTTGCACTATTTTATTTCTGAGACATGGTGTGAATTGGATTTCTAATACAGTATGTGTAACTGAATGAATCAATCTTTTATTTTAGCTCCAGAACCAAACTGTCAGCAGATAGTTAGCATCTAATGATTGCATTTCTGGTGCATTTTTTTCTATATCTATAATTTACAAATAAGGTGGGATTATCCACACATTTTTAAAAGAAATGTTGTGTATATATATACTGTACTTCTGGTAAGAATGACATAGAGGGGAAATGCTAAATGCATTTCACATGCAAATCTTCTCCATTATAATCAATAAACAACAACTCTAGACATTCTGTAGATCAAAGAGGCCTGTTACTGTCCTAATTATCTCAGAATATGTTTATGAGTTACAGTTTTATTTTTCCTATGTTTGTCAAGGTCATTCTACAGTTTTTCAGTAACATTATGCTTCTGGCAACATCAATTTTAAAATATGTTGTTCTTCCTCTTACAAGTAATGCAGATTTTGTCTTGCAGTATACCCAGGGTCAATGCTGTTGTGAAAAATAAAATCCAACTGGTTGCCTTCATGAGGATAATACATTACATTACATTAAATTAAATAATAATGATACACTTATAATAATGAAATGATAATTTATATGATTGCTATAAAGCTGACCTCTGGTGTATATATATACTGTATGTATATACTACAGAGATATCGTGGGTCAGTCCTTCATTTGTTAGCAAACATGTTCCAAGAATTGAATCTGAACTTTCTTAGGGGTATTCCAGTTAGAATTTTGAAAATTGAATCTATTTTCTTTGCTCCTTGGTGTAAAGCATTGATAAGTTTTGTGACCATACTGAATAAGCAAACTATGCTATAGGGGTGAAAAGATGACTATTTGGTGAGCTCAGACAAAACATTGTACTTTATACTATTTATCCAGTATACACTGCCTAGTATAGTATAATTGTCTAGGTTATTGTACAATACATCACTGTTAGTCTTTTGTTTCATTTGACAGAATGAATTTCCCTTTCCATATTTTTCTGATATGCTTTTTATTGACAATGAAGAGCAGTCTTTGAAGAAAGCTAGTTTAACAGGGTTCATGATAAACATAAGAACAAATTGTAACAGGATTTCTTAAAATATGACTTTGAAGTGATCATCTTTAGTCTTCTTCAGGGGAAAATAATTAAAAGTAGTTCTTGTAGAATATAAAAAGAAGCTCCAAACTTATTAAGGGCAATAAATATGGATTCATACATTGAGTAAAACAAAGGCGCTTGAAACTGATTAAACATGTTTGAAATAAATGTGTCATTCACAAATATGTAAAACACACATCTTTTAAAATAATTTATCATGTTTTTTGTGTTTCAAACCCCTATTATCGGAAAGCTACTTATTCCGGGTCATGGCAACAAATAGTATGTCTGTAGTCACACCCTGGATGTCGGACCAGGGTGTGACAGGGTGATGTCAAGACATCAAGACAATTTAGAGACATGTTAAACAATTCAGCTTGCCTTTGAAATAATGGATAAAACAACAGTATCATAAACATGGCAAATAGCTTCGAAAGTAATTGCAATAGTACTGTCATTTGGCTAGAAAAAGTTTTCTGAGAAGGATGTGGTAAACACTTAGTGAATGGTACCCATTTCTTCTCATTCTCAGATTAACTGACAATAAAACAAAAGGAATAAAATAACTGATTTTAATACCCAAATACAGAGAAATCCCAGAGAAAATCCTACAGTATATATGCATGTTTTACTTAGAGCTACAAGGACATTTGAACTTTACAGTAACCAACAATAACCAACAAAAGCCCCAAAACTTTGGGCCTTCATTGTCTAACTTTCTTTTTCATCAATATCACAAAACAATAACTATAATAATAGGTTGAGCTGCCCAAATGACTAGATGCTAATAAAAAAAAATATGTTTTTAACTGAAACCTGTTCTAGTAGAAAGTTTTAGTAGAAGTCAGGGTATTTTAACAAAAAAAAAGACTTTGCTTTAGAAAACAAATCAAAATTTCACTTGAAAGTTCTTTGCTACCAGGTGTAATGTTATTTATTTTACAAATAGAAAAATGTATTTTAAGATTTTCATGTTCTTTGAAAAAAAATCATTTTATTCAAAATTTACATATTCAAAATTACAGGTTTTATTAAAACATTTAAATTGTTAAAACTAGTACTAAAAAAATGCAATTTTATACACCATAAAAAAACAGATACAGCGAAATTAAGAAGTCATCAGATTTGACAAATTGTTACACTGTATTTAATTCTTCATCTTTTAAAGCAGTCTATAGTACCATATAAAATAAAAGTGTATTTTATTTCAAAGGAGCTAGGCAAGCTTAATTCTTGCAAATGTATTAAATTGCTAGGTAAGTGATAAAGAAAACAAAAACTGTAATTTTAAACAGCCAAAGTAGGCAACAATACTCTGATAAAGTCTGTGAAAATGTCTTTATAAAAATAAAATAGTACTAATATACTCCGAAATGTTTCAATTATGATGGCCCAACACTGGACATTGACTCCTTGTCCCACTTGCCTTTCTGTGTAGTCAAGCCCTAAGCACAACCACTCCTTGGATCAAATAATTAATACCATTGTAAGAAAATTGTCATAAAGGTGCAAGCGCCTGTTGCTGAGAATTTCCAAAACCCTGTTTATGTTCTGCCAATACATGTGCTGAGCTGATGTTTATTATGAGGTATGGCACTGGTAATCCACTTCAAAACGCTAACAACCTCAACAAATCCAGCCCACATCAAAGCAGAACTCTGATGTTCCCCATTACAAAACTGTGAAAAATGTAAATAATTCATTAAATCTACTCACACTGGAAAATAGCTACTTTTTCTATTGCTGTTGCTTAAACATTTCTAATTTAACACTGCATTTTTCTCTTATTGCCTTTGCTACAAAAAAAAGTTTTACCTCATTTTATGTTGAGTTACAAGCTTTATAAGCAAACATTTTTCTTATGTTAATCATAAATGATTGGAGCAAGGTACTTTGTTTTATTCTTTAATAATTTCACACTGTGTATCAAAGAACAGCTCACCGTGTTGTATTTCAGATAAATTTGTCAATAAAAAAAGGAACCAACATGACAATCTGTTTTTGCTTTTGCACATACTGTATCAATATTCCTGTCCTATTCAATTACTGCCTTTTCAATTCAGTCTTAAATATATAAGTATGAAAACATCATTTTCTATTGCTACACATCTGTTGAAAATGGTGTTGGCTTACAAAATCATTAAGAACTGCAAATGAGAGAATGCCAGTTGGCTCATCCACCCCATTTTTAGTTTTAATTACACCACTGCCATGACCTTCAAAACCTTCTCCAGCTCCAGGCCTGACAGTGCCCACAGGAAAGTTAGCAATATAGAACTGCCGCTCCAACAACACAGGAAGCTCACAGGCACCCGGGAAGCCACCTGGTTTGCTGCTGTATGGCCAGTAATGGATACTCTAACTGAATGAAACACACGCAACCTAAGCAGTGCTTAGTCAACAGTATATCGCTGCTTTCAGGAATCCTAGTCGCTGACACCTAAACGCTTAAACGTTTTGAAAATATTTTTGGAAATTGCCAGCACCCCTTGTCATCCTGCAACCTACAACTGATATCTCACTGAAACTAAGCAGGTGCGAGTCTGGTCAGTAGCTGGATGAGAAACCTCCTGGGTAAAACTAAGGGTGCAGCTTGAAGGGGTCTTAGAAGGGCCAGTAGGGGGCCCTCACTCTGCAGCCTGTGGTGGTACTTATGCCCCAGTATAGTGATGGGGACACTGTACTGCAAAATGGCGCTGTCCTTTGGATGAGATGTAAAACCGAGGTCCTAACTCTCTGTAGTCATTAATAATCCCAGGGTGTCTCTCGAAAATAGAAGGGGTGTTACCCCGACATCCTGGCCAAATTTCCCCGTCCTTTACCAATCATGGCTACCTAATAATCCTCATCTCTGAACTGGCTTAATCAATCTAATCTCCACACTTCTATCTGATATGTTGTGAGTGTACTGGTGCACTTTGGCTGCCGTTGTTATCCAGGTGGATGCTGTACATTGGTGATGGTGGAGGAGAGTCCCCATTATCGGTAAAGCACTTTGAGTGGAGTGTCCAGGAAAGTGGTATGTATGGAATTGTTATTATATTAATAAATTATTATTATAAATCAGCATGATTCCACCAGCTGCACTGGCTGCTGTGCTATAAATATGGTTCTGACATCATCACAATGAGGGAATCCTGTTCATTAAATAAGTGTCAAGAATCAGACCACTGTCTTAAAGTTTGTCACAGTGACTTGAATTTTCAATACTTTTTTCAATTTGCAGTCACAAATACACATAGACACTCAGAACACACATTTAAGATAATCAATGGCTTTCTACTGTGGAAAAGATATTTTTCTGCAACAATTTGCTCTTTTATGGTGAACGGTGCACGTGTGACATTCTAACCTACAGACAAACAAAAAGTTAAATAGTTTTACTTTCGAAAACTGCATATTTAATAATTTTACAAAGATATGTCAGAACGGATCAACTCATCATAAAAACATATTCCTCAAAATTCAACTTCATAACGTCAAGGACTTCAGTCTGTGGTGTAGTGTCTAATACCAGTTGGTGCATGTGATCATAAAACACATGTCATCTACTTTCTTATTCCCTATTTGACACTGTGGTAGGTCTGCTTCTGGTCTCTGGGTGGTCTCTGATGGTGTTGGGCTTGAAGGTGGTCCTGTGAATACTTTTGAATCCTGGAGTGATGAACAGGCATCCTCTGAGACAGAAATCTTCTCTCTGCTCTGCCCTTCTCCCATTTTCTGAAAAACAACAGAAATATCGGTGTACAGAACAAGATTGCTGTCACCTATCTATAAGATAACCCTGACAGAGAGCTGTTTGAGAGCATCTGTTTACACAATAAAGCAGCTGATTTAGCTGAAGACTAAATGGGACTTGAGCACTTGTTTCAAGGCATTTACTGGTGAGTAAACACGAAATGCAGTCTAAACCTATGATGCAACATGTTATTAAGAAATACACTTTCTTGGGAGTATGGGATCACCAGTTTCTGTCGTGGCAAATCACTTCAAATGCAAATCATAAGATAAACTGACCTCTTTTGGACATCTAAGGGATGACAAGGGACACTAAACCAAAAGTGCAGTGCAGATGCAGTACAGTGATGCATCTCAAAATCTATCAAAGAAATTGCATTACATAGTTTCCCAGTTCCTTATAATTAACACATGAATTCTACATCTGAATTACATGTAGTTATATTCTTTGGTCCTGTTGACTTGTATTAACTAGACCCTATCATCTTTAAGCTTTGTTTAAACTAAATTAAATATGGTACCTTGTACAAATAGGTGGAAAATCTTTGATTTTCTTATTTAAATGACTAAATTTACAAAATGTGATTAATATTAACACCGTGATGCTTCAGTTTAATGTTTCATTTTAGAAAAGAAGACCAACTGGATCAACTGAGAAAATATTTATAAATATCTGCTTGGTAACAAGTTTCCTGATACTTGAGTTTGTAAGATCTTCAGTAAGTGCAGAAGAAGAAAAGTGAGTTTAATATATCTATCTCCTGCTAAATCAGATAATATATTAAACAGGAGTGCACTATTTTTAATCGGCTTTATCTGCTATTACGCCCTTTGCAACACTTTACAGATCACAATCAAGCTTTTAATACTGTTACAATACCATTTAACCTCGTGACGTTACTAACTGAAAACACTTTAAAACAAATAACAGACAGCGTACAAAACAGAGCTCATTACATTTAAAATACCTAATCATATTCAGTAAACAACACCTTAACAGGCTAACTGGTCAAAATAAATCTGGAACCTCCACCATTTCAAATGCTTACATAAAGCAGCAGATATGCAGGAGATCACGTAATTAACAAGAAGCCAGATTGTGCTTAATGACAAGTCTGTCTACGTCCTTTGCGGCCATTCGGCGACCCTGCCCGGCTGGTGAGCTCGCAGTTTCCAGGCAGAAGTCGCTGCAGCAGTGACGTCACACCGGGCTGCATCTCGCGCGGGGCACACGCCTGACCAGGCTCGCCGCGTGGTGGGGCACGTGCGCTTGGAGCTGCTGCGCAGATGACGTTGCGGACGAGGAGCAATATTGCTGTAAAATTGTGAATTCCTCTGGCTGTGAAGTGTCTATTTCTGTATCTACTTCATTCTTCTGTCTCCTTTTTTCTGTATTTCTGGTATTTAAATAAAAACTTATTTTAAAAAAGTAAAACAAATATTGCTGTAAAAAGCTCCACTATAATAATAATAATAATAATAATAATAATTGAATTCAAATAAGAAACGTGCTTTATCTGACACAGTATTCTCTTGTTTAATAAAGTATTTTTAGACGCCTCGCATCCTTTTGCTGTATACTAGTGTTAACAAATTAGCATCCTATCATAAAACCTCCAAGGTACATGCTGTGCTGTCTGAAGCTACTTGAGCAGAATTGTATATGTACAGTGCCTGCCAGTGGCTTTGGACAGGAAAGGAAGGAACTTACCATTTCCGAATAATGATATGGCTACCAGCTGAAAAGCTTGAATTGATACTACAGAAAGTCCGAGATTTCCACATAAAATTTCTTCAGATTTATATAATTAAAGTAAGATCCCAAAAAATTAATTGTAAAAAATAATGTAATTTAATGTAGCTTGCTCACTTTATGCTGTTTTGACTTAAAGTCAAATTGTGAATTACGAGTATATACGTTTAATATTTGATATTATGATATCTAGCATGGACCCGTACAGACTAACCTGGATGTAAACAGAGCACAAAAGGAAGTACTTCCTGTGAGGAAAATGGCGAGTGTGGAAAAGCTCTATCTGATACGAAGGAGCCCGTGACATCACAGCAATCCCAGAAGCAGAAGAAGACACGTGGGTGTGGGCCATGCCGTGTTTGAGTGCAGGAGGCCTGGTTGTACGGGTGTAGTGTAGGCAGCGATACAGAAACATTTAGAGCTTTCACAGGTACTGTGATTATTGTAAACGGTTTCATATCAGTCATTCAAATGACAATATTGTTTTAAATTACTAAATTTGTCCCTATGGAATTTATATTGTTTTGCTGTGAGAGAAAATCGAGTAAACAGCGAAGAGGAACATGAGTTTATATGTTTTTTGTGCTGTCATTATCTCTTAATGATTTACGTTTTTGATTTTGTAAACAGTTATATTTAGTTTCATTTACATTTCTAACCAATTCGAATATAGGGAACGCTGTAATGGTGAGATCCGTATTTTCTCATTTTTGTAAATGGTTCAGCTACTTCGATTTAAAAGTACAGCGGGCAAAGCTGCCGGTGAATTTCCGAAGGGAGTTCAGGTAAATTCTTTAAAAAAAAAAGTGAACTTGCATTTGCTTTAATGGAATTATGTGTCGTTCTAGTTTGCGGGCCGCTGGTGTGATCACCTCTATAGGCATGGCAGTCCGGGCGTCTTTTGAGAATAACAATGAAATAGGCTGTTTCGCCAAACTTACAAACAGATACTGTCTAGTAGCCATAGGGGGCTCGGAGAACTTTTACAGGTAAGTCAACATTTTTCTCTTAGTTTAAAAATGCACGTGTTGAGTTATCGTTATCTTCAGATATCATATTAGAGGTTTAGGTGTTCTACATCTGTATTCTGAATCACTGAAACTGCTGAATACGGTCTCTTCAGAACAAGTTTGTTTTCTGACGCTACACCCCTATTTTATAAAAATAATAATAATTGCTTAAACTTATATAGCGCTTTTCTGGACACTCCACTCAAAGCGCTTTACAGGTAATAGGGTCTCCCCTCCACCACCACCAGTGTGCAGCCCCACCTGGATGATGTGACGGCAGCCATAGTGCCCCAGAGCGCTCACCACACATCAGCTATCAGTGGGGAGGAGAGCAGAGTAATGAAGCCAGTTCATAGAGGGGGATTATTAGGAGGCCATGATTGGTAAAGGGCCAATGGGAAATTTGGCCAGGACGCTGGGGTTACACCCCTACTCTTTACGAGAGACGCCCTGGGATTTTTAATGACCACAGAGAGTCAGGACATCGGTTTTACGTCTCATCCGAAGGACGGCGCCTGTTTACAGTACAATGTCCCCGTCACTATACTGGGGCATTAGGACCCACACAGACCGCAGGGTGAGTGCCCCCTGCTGGCCCCACTAACACCTCTTCCAGCAGCAACCTTAGTTTTTCCCAGAAGGTCTCCTATCCAGGTACTGACCAGGCTCACACCTGCTGAGCTTCAGTGGGTTGCCTGTTGTGAGTTGCAGGATGATAACTATTTTGTAATTTTAAAGACAGAAAGTTTACAGTTTAGCAACTGTTCTGGAATTTAAATCCTGAAATGCTAATGACTTTTGAAATGTTAATGGATTACGTGGTAAAAGTTTTGATTGTGGATCAGAGTAATCTCTTTTAAATTGTTCTCATGGTTGCAGTGTCTTTGAAGGTGAGCTGTCAGAAACCATTCCTGTGGTGCATGCATCCATAGCTGGCTGTCGAATCATAGGAAGGATGTGTGTAGGTAAGTACCGCAGTGTCATGAATTTGACATCCATTATCCACTCTGCCTTCATCTGAAGAACAAAATATAGAGTGGAAAGATGTGTAATTTGCCAATAAACTAATCAAAGGGGTCTAGGACATAGTTGCAACAGAACTCCACTTGAAGTAAATTATGGCAGCTTGGCAACACAGCACTGCCTTGAATAGGTTCTTGGATCTCGCTTACGTCCCTTCCTGTGGGTTTTTCTTTTGTGTAAACATTTCAGCAGGACAAAATGTATCCTTGTGCTACTTATGTAACAGTGGGGTTCCTGATGGATAAGAAAGTGCTGGTTATAAAATTAGGGATTTTCTCACTAGACTTGAGCTTCATCGTTATTTACATTGAGAGTTATAGTGCATAGGGGATCAAAGGTTTCTTGTGTCAATCACTGTTGCACCTGGGAACATGGGTATCTCCCAGATGGGAGTAGTGTAAATTCAGTGGAGGGGATGTGCCACACACCCCTAAAAGAGGAACTGCAATGATATTTTTACATTTTGGAGTTATAAGGAATTGGCACTGATGATTTCAAACCATAATGAAAGAAAGTACACAGTAATATGTAAAAACCTTTAATTTCCATCACAAAATAGACAATTTGCAGGTATGCGTAGCACCATATTGCTCTCATTGCCTGCAACTCCAAACGAGGCAACAAATGTCTGGAAATGTGAAGCAGCTTTATTACATTGTAAACAAGCAGGCTTGTGAATGCATCTCTTTGATAGAAATATTGCTCCTAGTTGTAAAACCATATTTAATGCACATCTTAACTTAGGTTAAATCATGAGTTTTTCTAATTTCCTGTCAAGCACTGATGTCACCCTCTTGCTGCTTTTTCTTTTAATTGGTTGGTTTTGTCAGCAGAAATGATAGGAATGATACCTAGTTTGAGCACAAGTTATGGTTCATTATCTGAAATGAAAATATATTTAATATTATGAACTGTTAGACTTCATAATGATGTAAACTCCAAAGCAGAATACGTTTTTAGGTACTTGAACAAGACTGCTGATTTGAATAACTACACTTGAATTGAATTCAGTGCATCAACTTCAAGATGGTTTTACTGACAAATACTACTTGTAAACTGTGCATGCTGATCATGTTGGAACATTTCTGCAGTGAAAAGTCCACTGCACAACCTGTGCTTATGCACTCATACAGCACAGTAAATTAGTCATTATAGTGACTAGTGAGCAGGAAGGGCTGTTTCATGTTGCTATTCGTGCTAACTCGCTATTTGTGCTTAATTTGGAATTTGTAAAATTTTGTGAAATTGTCAATTAATTTATTCTGTTACAGAGATTTAATAACCAGTCTGAGAAATTGGAACTTTAATGCTCTTAGCCTTTCTCACTACCCTCTGTTTATAGAGGAACATTAATTGTGATATACAAGGTACCTTTAGGTTCTTACCCTTCTCTCTGCTGCTTACTATTAGGGAATCGTCATGGACTTCTAGTGCCCAATAATACTACAGACCAGGAGCTGCAGCACATCAGGAACTGCCTACCAGATGAAGTTCAGATCCAGCGTGTGGAGGAGCGTCTGTCAGCTCTTGGCAATGTCATTGCTTGCAATGACTATGTGGCACTGGTACACCCTGACTTGGACAGGGTAAGAGTATGAGGGCAGGGCACAAGCTGTATGTGCTTTTAACCTCTATCTTTTTTTGAAGGATACTTAGTACCCAGTGAACGTAAAAGAGGCAAGATTGGGATAGACTTTTTTATTGCTTGGTAGAGAGAAGAGTTCTGTGCTCAGGGTTGTACTGAAGTTGGATCAGTACAATTAGTACAACGGTGGCTCTGTGGTTAAGGATCTTTGCCTGTGGCTTGAAAGTTGCCAGTTCAAATCCCATGGCCGACAGAGTCCTACTGTGTTGGGCTCCTGAGCAAGGCCCTAAACCCCAGCTGCTCCAGGGGCGCTGTACAATGGCTGACCCTGTGCTCTGACTCCAAGCTTCTCTCCCTGTCTGCGTGTCTCATGGAAAGCAAGCTGGGGTATGCGAAAAGACGAATTCCTAATGGAAGAAATTGTAGATGGCTAATAAAGTGATCTTAACTTACTGACATGGTTGCAAGTGAGCCTTAGATGGGGAGAGAGTTATGGATTCTGCTTAGTCTGTATGTTGTTGTTGCTACTTTGAAATTTGTATTGATATTAGGTGGTGTCAAAAAGTGTTGCTTTCTTTTTTGTGACCAGTTGAAATTACCAAAGGGAGTCACAACTGTCTGAGTTATGTACGTTTCTAAGCCCCAAAATTACTGAAACAATATTTGTTTTCGTTGAGGTTCAGACATCAGTAGTCAGTCATTAGCATGGTGTCAGGTTGCTAGGAGCAGCAGCTTTTAAGAAGCTTTTAGGTTTTGTGATGTAATCGGGTGCAGTGGCATCTCCGTGTGGGACATTCCTCATTGGTGGATCACTCCAGGTGTCTTAGGGGATTTATGGTGGGTGACCCACAGCTGGGAGTCCAGGTGTGCCTCCCTCTTGGAGCTGTGGACTGGGAAGCATTGATCAAGTTCAAGTTTATTTGTCATTCAAGCCATATACAAGTATAAAGAGGAGCAAGATATCGTTCTCCAGGTCTACGGTGGGAATTCAGACAAGACAATGCTATAGACAATGCTGACATAGACATTTTCCAGTATACCACGATACCTTTAACCAGATGGTTGGTAAGAGGTTGTGGGAGGGATTGTCCACAATACTGGAGGCTTTGTGTGTGCAGCATTTGTGGTAGATGTCCTGAATGGACGGAAGGGAGGCTCCAATGATGTTTTCTGCTATATTGACAATTCGTTGCAGGGACTTTCGGTCAGAGATCTTACAATTCCAAAACCAAACAATGATACAGTTTGTCAGGATGCTCTCAATGTAACCTTAATAGAATGTGTATAGCATGGGGGAGGGAAGGTTTGCCTTCTCAGTTGCCGCAGGAAGTGGAGATGTTGTGCTTTTTTAGTTAGGGAGGTGGTGTTGATGGTCCAAGTGAGGTCATCTGTGATATGCGCACCAAGAAACAGTACTTCTAGCTGTTTCCACAGGGCAGCACGGGCCCTCCTGAAGTAAATTATCCATCTCTTTTGTCTTACCTACATTCAGAGACATATTCTTGTTTAAGCACCAGTTCGTTAGCTATATTGGCTAATACTGTGTGCTGAAGGAGCCACTGACATGCAAAGTGTCCGGGCAAGCAGGAAACTCTTTTTAAATGACACAAGAAGAAAATCTTGATGCTGATTGTGAATAATGCATTGTGATCTGCCTCTTGACTGAAGAGCAGGCAGCTGTGACTTGGAGCAGACTTTGGTTAGGAGGCAGCCCTCATTAGTCCAACTGCAATTTGATAAATTAAATTTGTTCATATGTACCTTTTACAACTAACGAGAGAATTTAAAGAAAACCATAGAGTAACAACTTTATATAGATTTAGTGTGCTGTACTGATTTCTGTAGTTGGTCTTGGGTTCGTCACAGTTTTTGTACAAAAAAAAAGTGTAACTGGGTTTGCCGGTTGGAGCACATTGGGTGCCGATGTGGAGATCCTGGAATGCTGTCTGAGGATGATCTACACCCCTAGTGTGAACCATGAGGATTCTCTTATTGAAGGAGTTGGGTTCTGGGAGGTGTAGTTAACGCTTTTAGCAGTAAGTAAATTTATGTCTCTGCTAATGCTTTCCATAAATGAATAACAGTTCTTGAAGTTTTTAAATTTTTATTTCCATTTAAAGAAATGAATTTTTCCTGAAGAGCTTAATTGGAAGTGTCTGATTTTATTAACTTATAGCCAGTGTGTATTTGTCTGAAATGAGAATGCACTGATTGCCTTTGGTATTTTTTTACAGCCCTTTATGTCTTTTTTTATTAGGAAACAGAGGAAATCTTGGCAGATTGCCTGAAGGTAGAAGTATTCCGGCAGACTGTGGCAGAGCAGGTGCTCGTGGGCAGCTACTGCACATTTAGTAACCAGGGCGGTCTGGTGCACCCCAAGACGTCTATTGAAGATCAGGATGAGCTCTCTTCCTTGCTGCAGGTGCCCCTGGTGGTAAGAATAGCTGCTCTTATGTCTTCATGGTCACTCTTGTATCAGAAGAGAACCACAGCAACAATGCCATGTTTTATTCGGTTTGTATTTTCCTTTTTGTAGAAATCTAAAATACTCTTTTAAAGACTTCTACCTGACACCACGTAGTATTCCAAGACAAATGGAATTGGTTTTAGTTTTAACTTTTTTATTTAATATTAAAAAAGGGTGGAAGTTTGTCTTTGGCACCACCATACAAAACATTACATTTATCAGTAAATTCAACAATGTAAGTTAAGATTTAGAAATAAGAAATAGAAATAAGATCATTAAGCTGTCATCAGGAGGCGAGGTCAAGTTTACTGGCTGTTTGGGACACTGCCAACTCGGTGTAATCAGGTCTGAATTGTGCCTATTTTAGATCTCTCTCTGTGCTTAACATGGCTGACCATATCCTGTCTGGGAACTATGTACACCAGCAAATAGTAATAGAGCTGTCATTATCTTTCTGAAGGTAGACTAGCAGTGGCGCTGAGGACTTGAGACATATTTTTGCAATTTCATGTTTCCAAAAATGAGGTGTTCAGAAAGCTTTTTACCAGATACTATACAGTTTTCTAGGCAGTTGGATTCAACTTAAAGGAGTATCTCATGCAATGAGTTGTTTTCAAATTATTTTAACTGTTTTTCACACTTCTTTCTTCTCTTTTTTTTTTTCCATGTAGGCAGGCACGGTAAACCGTGGAAGTGAGGTGATAGCAGCAGGAATGGTAGTCAATGACTGGTGTGCATTCTGTGGATTGGACACCACCAGCACAGAACTGTCTGTCATTGAAAGCGTTTTCAGATTGAGTGATGCTCAACCCAGTGCTATAGCCACCTCCATGAGGGACTCTCTTATTGACAGGTCAGTTTCTCATGAAAACAAAACAACTGAAGGAGATGGACACCATTCAGCTTGTGTCAAGGATTTACAGAGAAATTTAAAACATGTTACCTAGATTGGAAGGGGGGTTGTAAAAAAGGTCATCTGAAGGAGAGATGCAGAGGCAGTAGGGCCAAAAAAGAGAATGAAAAGGGTGAAATAAATAGATCCTTATACCTAAATTGTAGGAGTGTTAAGGACAAAACCCAGAAAGTGCACTTAATAAACCAATAATTTATTAACAGGTGTTTATGATTGGAAATCGTAAAGAATGCTTAAGAGATAGATGGTTAAAATATACAACATTAATGGATGTCAGTCTTCCAAAGAGAAATTAACAGTGGTTAAGAGATGGAGGTGTATCATTGTCCTACGTCAAAAAGAACATTCAGTCACAGGATATTAATCTGGATAATTCAGGTTTTTTACTGATTTGTTTCTCTAACTTTTTTGGTATTGAAAAGAGACTAGGGACCTCATTTAAAATGCTCAAAGACAAATGGTCACAGATAACTTAGTCTTTATAGTTTTAAATTTTCAGTAAAGGAGTTTCTATGGTTATGCACGAGGTATTTGCACAACATTTCTAGCGTCACCTACATAATTAATGCAGACCTCCTTCAGTAACCATAGCTTATACATTTTTCAGTGGAAAATTACCAATGTGTTTAAGAGCTAATAGACTATGTAAATGTGTGTTTGCTTTTTTACTTCTCTAGCAAGTTTTTTTTTTAATAAAGTGATTCAGAACTAAAAAATTAAAAATGTCAAAAATTAAAAAGTTTTTTGAGGAAATGATTTTAAGTGAAGGTGTTTAGTTAGGTCATCATTGATTACTAAATTCTGAAATGCAGTTGTTTCATTAAGATCTATTCATTTTGTGAGTATTCAATTTTAAATTAATTTTTAAACCTTTGTTTTTCAGCCTCACATAAAGACCTGCTCAGCTGGAGCTACTACTGGAAAACATGTGAACTCAGAAACCTGTGTTACAAATTCAGAAATGCATTTCTATTTTTTCATTTTATTACAACACACATGTAATCAATCTACATTTTCATGCTTGCCCAGGAGATTAGCTAAGTAATTTTCATATAAGCATTGTTTCCTGGGCTCTTGAAGGGAAGTCTCGGAGGGTTCTGTGTCTGTATCACTGTTGCCTTTGTAGCTTTGTATATTTGAAGGTCATTGTATTAGGAAAAAGTACCAGTTTCCTAAAGATCTCCTGGAAATAAATTAAGAACATCAAATTACGTATTTACTCATTTGTTTGTAACATTAAAAACTATTTGAGTTTATAATAAAGTTCAGTTTAACAGAATTCAGTGCTTACAGTGGTTTTTTATTATCATTTCTGACCTTAGGATTGGAGTTTTCATGCACACCATTGCCTTGAGACTTGAGACATTCATCAATGTGCTGTCCTTCACACACCTAGTGGTTGTTCAAAGATCATTGGTGTTCTTTTGAGATCAAGTTCAAGATTGTTGGAGATCTCTTAAGGTTGTTGGTAATTGTTTAATTTATGGTGATCGCTAGAGGTCATTGGTGATCAATCGAGATATTTGGTGATCATTTGAGATCGATCGTTGGTGATATCTTGGCGGAGCGGTGGCTAAGGATCTGCGCCTGTGGCTGGAGGGTTGCCAGTTCAGATTCTGCGGCCAGCAGAGGAATCCTACTCCATTGGGCCCTTGAGCAAGAGCCTTAACTCCAGCTGCTCCAGGGGCGCTGTATAAATGGCGGACCCTGCGCTCTGACCCCCGGCTTCTCTCCCTGTCTGTGTGTCTGTGCGTCTCATGGAGAGCAAGCTGGGGTATGCAAAAAGTCAAATTCCTAATACGGGAAATTGTATATGGCTAATAAAGTGATCTTATCTTATTGGTGTAGCGACGTGGCCTATTTTAGTTAGAATTAAGTGTTATTAATGATTTCTAATAAAATTTGTCTACCTTGACCAAGCAGCAATGTTTAGTTCACAGAAGTAAATGCATATTTACCCGTCTGTGATTATAAATTTGAATTAGTTATATATGACTGTTAGAACCTATGGGCTAAACTGTAAAACATTAACAGAAATGCATAACAAGAAACAAATGTATTAATAGAGTATATATTGGTTATATCAATAATTTGTATATTGTGTGTGTTACAAATGGGGGGTTATGAAACTGGTGAAAATCAGGATTTGACCGAGCGGTTTAGTCAAGCAGTGAAATAATTATTCATAACCCCAAATTTGTACGTGATTTCTAACCATATACTCGAGCAGCTTGTATAACTAGAGACATGTGAAATCTTTGTTCTCTGGTACAGCTTTGTTGAGAGGAATAATAATCCAGGCACACTTGGTTAAAACATATTTATTACAATAAACTACACAACAAAGTTACATTATATACGGGAACAAGTAATACGTTTATTCCATGGTGAAAAAAAGAAGAAAGAAAATGTTTCGGCCGTGGAGCCTTCTTCAGGCATTACACATAAAAATGTGGTCTGATCTTCAACTAAGTCACAATATTAGACAAACACAATCTCATTATACAAATAACACACAAACAATTGTACTTATTGTGAATATTGAAAACATCATTAAAACATTCACAGTCCAAGCTGAAAAAGTATGTGAACCTTGTATTTGGTGACTGGTAGAAACTTCTTTAGCAGTAATAAAAGCAGCCATATCACCCTGCAATTTACAACAGGCAACCCACTGAAGCTAAGCAGGTGTGAGCCTGGTCAGTACCTGGATGGGAGACCTCCTGGGAAAAACTAAGGTTGCTGCTGGAAGAGGTGTTAGTGGTGCCAGCAGGGGGCGCTCACCCTGCGGCTCATGTGGGTCCTAATGCCCCAGTGTAGCGTCCTTCGGATGAGACGTAAAAAAACCGAGGTCCTGACTCTCTGTGGTCATTAAAAATCCCAGGGTGTTTCTCAAAAAGAGTAGGGGTGTAACCCCGGCGTCCTGGCCAAATTTCCCATCGGCCTTTATCAATCAGGGCCTCCTAACAATCCACTTCTATAAATTGGCTTCATTACTCTGCTCTCCTCCCCACTGGTCGCTGATGTGTGGTGAGCGTTCTGGCACTCTATGGCTGCCGTCGCATCGCATCATCCAGGTGCACATTGGTGGTGGTGGAGGGGAGTCCCCATTACCTGTAAAGCGCTTTGAGTGGAGTGTCCAGAAAAGATGCTTATAAGACTTGCACAACGGTTAGGAGGAATTTTAGACCATTCCTCCTTACAGAACTGTTTCAGTTCATCAATATTTCTGGGATTCCTTGTGTTAACAGGTAGAGTAAAACCCAGAGTGGATCAGACTTCCGTGGGATCTGGACTGTTAGAGGAAAACCCGGTGTAGATCACACTTCCATGGAATCCGGAATGGTAGAGCAAAACCTGGACTGGATCAGATATCCATGGTATCCAGACTGGTAGAGCAAAACCTGGACTGGATCAGATATCCATGGGATCCGGAGTTGTAGAATAAACCTGGATTGTAACAGACTTCCATGGGATCCAGAATGGTAGGGCAAAACCCGGACAGGATAAGACTTCCAAGGGATCGGGACTAGAAGAGTAAAACCCAGACCGGATCACACTTCCATAGAATTCGGACTGGTAGAGCAAAACCTGGACTGGATCAGACATCCATGGAATCCGGATTTGTAGAATAATCCCAGACCGGATCAGACTTCCATGGAATTCGGACTGGAAGAGCAAATCTTGGACTGGATCAGACAACAATGGAATCCGGATTTGTAGAATAATCCCAGATCAAATCAGACTTCCGTGGAAACCAGACTGGTAGAGTAAAACCTGGAGCAGATTAGACTTCCATGGGATCCGGACTGGTAGAATAAACCCGGACTGGATCAGACTTTCATGGAATTCGAACTAGTAGAGCAAAACCCAGACTGAATTAGACTTCCAGGGGATCCAGTCAGGTTAAGTGAAAGATGAAGAAGATCAGATTTCCACGGGATCCGGACTAGTAAAGCAACACGTGGACTGGATCAGACATCCATGAGATCCGAATTGAGAGAATAAACCCAGACCGGATCATACTCCCAGGGTATCCGTTTTGTTAGAATAAAACCAGATCGGATCGGACTTCTATGGTATCCGGACTTTTACAGTAAAACCCAGAGCGGCTCAGACTTCCAAAGAGTTCGGACTGGTAGAGTAAAACCCAGACTGGATCAGTTTTTCATGGGATCCTGACTGGTAGAATAAAACCCAGAGCGGATCAGACTTCAATGTGATCCAGATTGGTATAGACAAACCTAGACTGGATCAGACTTCCATGGGATCCGGATTGTTAGAGTAAAACCTGGAGCGCATCAGACTTCCAAAGGATCCGGAAAGGTAGAGTTAAACCTGGACCAGATGAGAGTTCCGTGGAAACCAGACTGGTAGAGTAAAACCCGGAGCGGATTAGATTTCCATGGGATCCAGACTGGTAGAATAAGCCCGCACTGGATCAGACATCCATGCGATCCAGATTTGTATAGAAAAACCTAGACTGGATCAGACATCCATGAGATTGGGACTGGTAGAATAAACCCTGATCGGAACAGACATCCAAGGGATCCAGAATGGTGGAGCAAAATCCAGACCGGATCAGTTTTCCATGGGATCCGGACTGGGAGAATAAACCTGGACCAAATCATACTTCCAGGGTATCCGGTTTGTTAGAATAAAACCGGATCAGATCGGACTTCCATGGGATCTGGATTGGTAGAGTAAAACCCAGAGTGGATCACTCTTCCATGGGATCTGGACTGGTAGAATAACCCCAGATAGGATCAGACTTCCATGGGATCCGGAATGGTAGAGTAAAACTCGGGCTGGATCAGACTTCAATGGGATAGGGATTGTAAGAGTAAAATCCGAGCGGATCAGACTTCCAAGGGATCCGGACTGGTAGCGCAAAACCTGGACTGCAACAGACTTCAAGGGCATCCGGACAGGTAAAATGAAACACGGAGCAGATCAGATTTCCATGGGATCTGGACTGTTAGAGTAAAACTCTGAACGGATCAGAGTTCCATGGTATCCAAAATATTACAGTAAAACCCGGAGTGGATCAGACTTCCATGGGATCCAGACTGGTAGAGCAAAACCAAAACCTGAACTGGATTAGACATCAATTGAATCAGGACTGTTAAAGTAAAACCAGGAGTGGATCAGACTTCTATGCGATCTAGATTGGTATAGAAAAACCTGGATGGGATCAGACATCCATGAGATTGGGACTGGTAGAATAAACCCAGATCGGAACAGCCATCCAAGGGATCCAGAATGGTAGAGCAAAACCCAGTCTGGATCAGACTTCCAGGATATCCGGACAGGTAAAGTGAAACACAGAGCGGATCAGACATCCATGAGATCCGGACTGGGAAAATAAACCTGGACCAGATCATACTTCCACGGTTTGTTTTAATAAAACCGGATCGGATCGGACTTCAATGTGATCCAGACTTTTACAGTAAAACCTGGACTGGATTTGACATCCATGGGATCTGCACTGTTAGAGTAAAACCCATGCGAGTCGGATTGGAATAGAAGAACCCGGACCGATCACTCTTCCATGGGATATGGACTAGTATAGCAAAACCTAGACAGGTACAGACATCCACAGGATCCGGATTGTTAGAGTAAAATCCGGAGTGGCTCAGACTTCCATGCGTTCGGGATTGGTATGGAAAAACCCAGATCGGATCAGACATCCATGGGATCTGAACTGGTAGATTAAAACCCGGAAGGGAACAGAATTCCATGCAATCTAAACTAGAGCATAATCCAGATTGGATCAGACTTCCACAGGCTCCAGACTGGTAGAAGAAAACCTGGACTGGATCAGACATCCATGGGATCCGGACTTGTGTAATAAACCCCGATTGGATCACACTTACATGGAATTCGGACTGGTAGCGCAAGACCCGGACTGGATCCGACTTCAATGGGATCCGGACTGGTAGAGTAAGACCTGGACTAAATAAGACATCCGTGGGATGCGGACTGGAAGAGTACAACTCAGAACGGATCAGACTTCCATGGGATCCGAACAGGTTGAGCAAAACCTGGATTTGATCTGACTTCCATGGAAACCGGACTGGTAGAATAAACCCGAACTGGATCAGACATCCATGGGATCCGGACAGGGAGAATAAACCCGGACGAGATCATACTTCCAGGGGATCCAGTTTGTTAGAATAAAACCAGATCGGACTGGACTTCCATAGGATCCGGGGTGGTAGAGAAAAACCCGGTGCAGATCACACTTCTATGGGATTTGGAATGGTAGTGCAAAACCTG